TTATTTAATAATTTTTAGATCCCCTATATATCCCCAACTTATAAGCTGCTATTTTAATTCTAATTTTATTTATTTTTAATATTTTTTTAGATCACCAGTGAAAAGCGATCTATACCTATTCCAAATCGCTAATCCAACAATCTAACAAGGATCTATAGATGAACGATCCACCCCACCTATCTGAGATTTAAAAACACTGGAATTGGCCAGGGGCATTCACAGTAGGAGAAAAAAGTTTATATAAGGTGTCAACCTTATACTGTATAAGTAAGGTGCACCCCAAAACTCTCCGGAAAAGGTTATTTTGTTATTAGAAAACCCTCCAATTAATCATCTCTACTTCAATATGTATGAACACGAAAGAAAATTTGAATTTCAAGTATTAATAATAATATATTTTATAATACATTATCTAGACCATCTATTATCAAGATATTTAAGTGTTCATAGATGTGCTAAATCTGAACTATTTTTTAATCTTTCAATTTCATAATAAAAGTGAAAAACACATTTTTAAGGCGAACATAAGAGTATGGACGCCTAAAATACATGAGATTTTGAAGTGCACCCTACCTTGACCTTAACCCCAACCCCTAAGAGTGGAGACCCTTGTTGCTCTTCAAAAACCCTAATTCTTTGGACCATGGAGTCATATAAAAAAACATTAGGGTTTCTATTAGATATGGCTTGCTTTTTTCTCACCAACACCTGGGATTGGCTCTTTTAAGGGCATTGACTTAATCCAAATAAAAAATAGAGGCACGAGCACACACCCACACGCGCACATTACACACCCAAACGTACACGTACACGCATTAGATTCCTCAAACGACGTTGCTTTTGCTTTAACAAGGTCAGCCGCATAGCCCTGACACCCCTTTGACATAGCACAATAAACCCCCTTCCTCCGCTTTTGCTTTCTTGTCACCATTTTTCTTTTCAATTTTATTTGTGACTCAAAACCCTAACCCCCCCCATCACTTTTTAGGGTTTCGTTTCTCCCCCTTTGACAGTGTAACCGGCGGCCACACTGGCTTTTGTCTCCCGAACCTGATTCCGGTTCGGTAAAGCAAAGCGGGTATCTTGGAAATCTTTTCTCTTTTCAATTTCACTATCATTAGAGGATCAGATATTTGCCTGCTTTATTTTTAACGGGTGAGATTCATCCTTTGGATAAGTACCCTCACCATTTCGAAATGACAAGCGTGCCCTTTCTTCTATACTGTTTGTAGGGGTGGCAACGGACCCACGCCCCATCCGGAACATGATGTGTTGACCCACCAGGGTTCAGGTGTGGGTCCAAAAATTGGACCCAATGGATCAGGCTTTCGTTCGGGTCCCATATTATATTTTCAAATCTAATTTATAAAATATTAGTAAAAATAGAGATATTTTAATTTTTACGTTGGGTTGAGTTGGGTCGGGTTGAATCTGGTCTGGGTCCCACAGAAATAAGTGAGATATTTAATACTTGCTGATTGATAAATTAATCTCTTTTCATTGTGCTTCCACGCCAAGTCATCTATATACCCAACAAGTCGATTTAGATCCATGAGAGTTTTAATTGATGCTCAATTCCTATTTTTAAAGGTGTCAACCTTATATTACATAATGTACAACTAAAAAATGCTCTAAAAGAGGGTGTTTTAGTATTGAAAAACCCTCCAATTGGTCATCAAAAACTTCAAGCGTTAGTAGATTTGTTCTACCTTTATTATTTTTGGAATTTTAGATTTTATATCAAGGGATGAAAATAGATTGCCAAGCCACTGTCAGTACTAGTACTACATCTCTGGGCAAAATATGAAGCCGCCTTACTTCTACACAATGAGAAACTAAATTTTACTGCAAGATGTAGTTCTAATGTCGAAAACTTTATGATGGCTTGAAAATTCATTCTCAAGCCTAATTATGAAATTAAAGTTCAAAACATGGTATAGATCGAGCATGTATATAAGCACTTAAATGAAAATATACAGTTCATATAACTTGTTACAAGATGTACTATGTTTTAAGACTTCAAAATCTTTTTTCTTTATATCTATATATATCAAGGTTGAGATGATCAATTGGAAGGTTTTCAAACTTATGAACACTCTTTTCTACTTGATTTTTGAGGCACACTTTACTTCTATAATACAAGATTGAAAACTTGAAAGTTTTTCTAGAAAAAGTTTATATATGGTGTCAACCTGAGGTAGAAAGCTCACCTCCAAAACTCATTGAAAAAGGATGTTCCGGCATTGAAAATCCTTTAATTTGATGATCTCGACATTGAAAAAGTGAACAAAACAAGTTTTCATGTCCCTAAAATAAAGCATTTTATAATGCATTATTGGGACCGTTCATTTTCATGATTTTCAAGTATTCATATATCTTTTCAATCTATGCTATTTTTGAAGCTTTAAATGAAGGATGCAATTGGCATACGGATGCATCCGTAGGTGTAGAGGTAAGGTGCATCTTCAAATTTATCATCGTATATAATTTTGATGTAAAATGGTCTTAGGTTTATCTTAAAATCTATTTTTATATCTAATTATAAAAGTTTAAATTTAAAAAATGGTTAAAATCAAGTAGATTTATAAACATATGAAAATCTTGAAAATGGACATTATAGATAAGAAATTGTAAAATGCACTATTTTTTAGAGTTAAAATCTTTTTATTTTTTATATTCATACATCTCGATATCGAGATGATCAATCAAAGTGTTTTTCAACATTAAAACTACCTTTTCCGATGGATTTTTGAGGGGCATTCGTACTTCTACATTATAAGGTTGCATCCTTATATAAACTTGTTCCTTAAATGAATTAGAATGAGAGGGATTCTTGACACAACATCTTCCTGCACCATTTAAAAGTGCGTCTTATCTTAATTGTCCCAGGCCGAACCATATACAAACTGCACTCTAATATTTTTTTTTCCCTTATATAAAAACACTAATATAGGGCTAAGGGTGGCAATGGGTAGGGTCGGGTTTAGATCTAACCAGACCCGCACTCGAAATATGATATGGGACCTGAACCTAAACCCGAATTCATTGGACCTGGACCTAATGGAACTCGACCTAAAAATTAAAATATCTATGTATTTAATTATATTTAATTGTATTTCATATATTGTGATCCAAACAATACTATCAGCTCTAGACTCAATCGAACCTGACTCGAATCCAGACCCAAATAGTATTCAGGTCCAAGATTTGGACCCGGACCTGACCCATACTCAGACCTAGATCGGGTCCCGCTCGGTGCTGGGTCGGGTCGCGGCCCATTGACCCTTGTCAAAGCTTCCCAATGCATCCTTATACAACATGGCACAGCGAGTGAGGTACATGACATCTCCAATGTCCATTTAAGAAATGGATGGTTGAAGATGATTTCGTTGGATTATCGGAGACATGTTGTATGGGCAGCCACATGTTGCTCACCCCCACGTCCAGTCCCTATCATCCGTAAACGATAAACTCCAGGCGTCGACATTTAAGAAGGCAGGTACGATATCGTACACATTTTAATGTATACATCACTGTTTTGCAACACCTTATACTTTTATGCTCCCATTTTCCAAACGACTTAAATCCTTAGAATTTGTGGCTATCAAAACACATCACAATGTCGTCTATTTCTATTGTACACTTCGATCCGGGCCTTGCAATGGGCTGGGCTTTGCCCTGTCTATGTAGCCCACGAGGGTCCAGGCAGCGTAGCCTTTTGCCATATTTTGTTGTTTTTTTTTGTTTTTAGTTATAAAGGACATGGCTGATTGGGTCTCTAGTTCTATGTACTATATTGTTGATTGGGTACCGAGTTCTAAGTACTCTATTTAGGAAGATTATTTTAGAAGTTATCGAGTTGATTCATAATCACTTAACATAATTTAAAATCACATGGAAAATTTAGAATCACTCTATTTTTTATTTTATTTTTTTAAAAAATAGCTATGTCTAACTTAGACCAAGCGACCTGGGTCAAGACTTCGATGGGTCCAATCCTAGATTGACTTCTTAAGCATTGCTCATGACAATATTCCATTGCTCATGTTATTGAAACACTAATAAGAAAAGGCGGTACTGTGCTCTAAGGTTGTTTACTTCTAGAATATAAATATCACAATCATTCTTGATATCAAGTGTGAAATTAAATACCTAAAAGTATGACAAATTTCAAAAAAAATTCTTTTTGGCTTTGAGCATAGAGAGTAACAATCCTACGCCATACCATTTTGCCCATGATCTTAAGCTCCTTGTGCCAAAGTGGTATTTTAAAACCCATAGATATGAATTGAGAATGGTTGATCCAGATTTGAAATTACTGAGCCCATTCCATAAAGGTACCTATGCCAACCCGATCCCTCCAATAAGATCCCCTTTCCCTAATTTATTTTTTCTTTTTTTAAGGTGTATACAATATTTTTTTGGGTCCTCTCCTAAATCTGCACCAATAAACCCTTAATTTTATTTTAATTTTTTAAATATTTTTTTAAATGGGCAGTTCAACGTGGATATGTTGTTTGACCCATCGAGTTTTGCAATATTGTAACAAAATAAATGGTAGAAAATGAAAATACCTATTTAGTATAAGGATATTATAATTATTTATAACCATCCAATGTGAAATCCAATAGCTTAAGTACGTCATAAAATTCGATAATTTTTTTTTTGAACTTTGAGCTTGATCAATGAAATAAATGTAGCCACCCAACTACATATCTAATGTTCAAGATTAATTAGGGCTACCTTATACCAAACTTATCATGTAATTTTTTTTTAAGAAAAATAAGACTAAGGATGACGACAATGAGAAGTGATTATTGGCATTTAGTAAAAGTGAAGGCTGTTTTGGTAATATGGAAAAGGCATCAGCGTCGGCAACAACGTCGGCGTCAGCGTCAGCGAGCCTTCCGCTACAGTGTACGTTAGAGAGGGAAGCCATGGATCCGAAGCTACTTTTCTTTGTGGCTCGGATAAAATGGCCACTAAATACACACTGTTGGACACCCCCTCCTCCTCGTCTCTCTGTCAACGCAAACAAAAAGAGCTTCTCAGGAAGCTTCCTACTATCTCACCAATTCGCATTTCCCCCACTTTAAAGGGCATCTCTCTCTCACTCTTCTTTCTCTCTCTATCGTCTTACTATTCCTGTTTGTCTCTCTGGATTCTCTGTCAATCGATTCTCTGTGTATTGTGGGCATCAGCATCGGAAGTTACCAACATATCTGTTTCTCTCTCTACTCTCTGTTTCTCTCAATATTCTCTATCTTCCTATTGTTGGGAGGAAGGAGCTAGGGGCGAGCTTGCCTGCAACTCTGTTAGGTACTTCTTCTTACATTACTTAATCTCTTCTGAAAACTGTTCATTTCGGTTTTTCTTGCTAATATTTTGATACCCAATAAGCGGTATTTAGTATTGATTCTCCCTCTAGCTCTGGTTTTTGTTTTTGGGGTTTTAGAGGTTGGGGATTACGATTTTTTTGTTTTTGGTTTTTGGGTTGTTGAGATTTTTTGTTTTTTCTTTTGAGATGGATGATTTGTTCTATTGTGATTTTTTGGGGGGTTTTTCTGTTCGTTTTGTTTTCTTATTTAGATATTGTTGGTGTTCTCGAGTCTGGTTTTCATCTTTACCCCTTTTATCAATTTTGTAATTTGCAGAGGTTTTAGTGGGTATATTTTTCTTTCTCGACCGTCCAATTTGTCGGTTTTTTCATTTATTCTTCTAATTGAATGGTACCCTATGATCTCAACAGCTGGTTGATTATTTCCATCCATCTGCAACTGTTTTGGGTTTTTCTTTTTAGGCGGTTTAGGTTTTTCTTTTCCATTTTCTGTTTTTTTTTTCTAGGGTTTTCAGTTGTTTTCACTTGGTTAAAGCTTTTTTTTTTACATTCCCATCTTCTTTTTTCTGGGGTTTATTCTGTTCTAGGATGGGTGGTTCAGTTTGTTTAGCTCTGCTCTTGTGGACTTTGGGTTTATCTTTAGACTCTCTTCAGTCTTATTATTCTTCTTCTTCTTCTACTTGGGTATTTTATATACTCTAGGTTTTATAATGCAGAGGAAACATGCATTTTATTCTATTTTTCTCTGTACTGATTTTCGATGCATCAGATGATGACTCCTTTTCTGACACTTATTCTGTGTATCTTGAATTTAGGTGTCTGTTTTTTGTTGTCTATCCTTTCTTCACATCTATTCCCTAAACTCCCATTAGGCATTCCTTTTCCTGAAATTCCCATGAAAATCACAATTTGTGAAGTTTTGGATTTTACTAATGTAAAATTGTAAAAAGAAAGGATTTTTTTTGTAATCTTGTTACAGTTATCAGCATCATAATCTATATGCTTTACCATGATCCAAAAATTGAAAAACCGTGTAGACTTTAAGAGAGAGATTGCAAGTGTATTATCTTGTATACTCTTTACTGATACTGATTCATGGGTCTTGTTTATTTCCAGATCTTCATCTAAGGGAGCCCTGTGCCATTCATAATCTCTCTCTCTCTCTACTTTTCTTCCTAATCTTTGTGTGGATGGATCAAAATGGCACCTGGTTCACGAAGAAGAGGCTCCCAATCTACAGATACGAAACCAGAAAGCGCAAAAAATCAAGCGATCAAACCGCTGATTTCTCTTGGGACGATTTGAACCAAGACCTTCTCGAAAGAGTGCTCTCATGGCTCCCCACCTCGAGCTTCTTTCGCCTACGTTCAGTGTGCAAAAGATGGAGTTCGGTTTCTCTCTCGAAAACCTTCATGCTTGCCTGCTCTCAAGTCCCCAAAAGAGAGCCATGGTTCTATATGGTGGATCCCAATTGTAGCAAACCCATCATATATGACACAGCCCAAAGCAAATGGTGCAATATCAACCATCCTGAGCTTTTAGAAACCAACAATGGCCTTTTACCAGTGGCCTCTTCAGGTGGATTACTGTGCTTCCGGTCATTTTCCGGTGAATTTTTTATCAGTAATCCAGTTAGTGGCTCACACCGAAAATTACCCCATGTAGATATCGAAGATACTGTCCATGCCATAGCCATGTCATCCTCTTCATTGTCATCATACAAACTTATCTTAGTCCATGGCGACCCATCTTCTCTTACTGTAAAAACATTTGACTCTACTTTGGACCACTGGACCGTTTCCATGCTTCACCGGAAAACCAAATTCCAGCAACTAGCTTTGCCAGAATCTGGCGATGAATATGGGGATGAGACCCTTTACTATTTGAGTAAGGCTGGAGATGTAGTGGCCACTGATATGCAAAGAAGTCCCTCTAAACAGTTCTCATCGGTTGTGATCACGGAGAAGAATGGGAATGAAGTCCTCTACTTTTTGAGCCAGTCAGGGAGGGTGGTGGGGTGCAATTTGAGTGAGGGGTTTTGGTATGAATACCCCAAGATTTTACCCCCCTTTTTCGAGCACTCACTAGATTTAGTAGAGTGTAGAGGAGAGATGTTAGTGGTTGTTATGTCGGAGCTTTTAGAGAGCGCTAGCCTTCGAGTTTGGAGGTTCAGCGAAGAAAAAGGACTGTGGGTTCAGGTTGGGGCTATACCCCCCTCTATGTCCCATGAATTTTATGGGAAGAAGGCTGATATAAACTGTGTTGGCCATGGAAATTTGATAATGGTTTGTGTTAGTAGTGTGAGTTGTGGTTTTAATTGTGAGGTTTTGTGTAATTTGGAGGAGAATTCATGGGTGGAGTTGCCTGAGTGTTTCATTTCAGGGAAGCCCAAGGAGTTTGTGTCTGCATTTTCATTTGAACCAAGGTTGGAGGCCTGTGTGTGAAGAAGTGGGGGATTTTGTGATTTGGTTTCTTTGAGATATATTTGGCTGTTTAGATTTGTTGTACAAGCTGCTTGTTGTACAATTGCGATGGGAGTTTGGCTGTAATCTGTGTAAACTAACTCTGGTTTTTAATGGAGTTTCTATGTCTGAGATTTTGGTTCACAAAGACATTGTTGCATTCAGGATTAAATCTCACTCTGTCACTCAGTCAGGAATAAATCTCTCTCTTTCTCGCTCATTCAGGAATAAATCTCTCTCATATGTGGGTATGGTTTTCTGACCTGCATTACTCTTAATGGTACATTGCATCTTACTCCACAATTTGTTCATCACGTCTTTTTGTTGTACTTCATAGGTTTTGTTTCGTACATAGGGGTTTTATTTAGTAAGTATTTTGGTTGTTAAGAGGGGTGTGATCCGTTTACATGGGATGTGACATCATCATCATGGAATATTAAATAGAGTGTGACATCATCCACATGGAGCATTAAATATCATTGGTCCATGTGGATGACATTATATCATCCTATGTCCAAAAATACTCTTATTAAAAAAAATACGCAATGTACAAAACAAGAGCATAAAAGTGTTCAAAATCGTTGACAACGATGATAAGTTACCTCATAGTGAGCACCTTGACATTACAATATATTTTCATATTTAATTATAAAATTTAAAGCTTCAAAATAGTGTAAATCAAGTAGATCTATGGAATCTTGAAAATTGACGGTAAAAAAATGCATTACAAGGTGCCATATTTACAAAATCTGAAATCCATTTTTTTCTTGTGTTTATACATCTTATGTCGAGATGATCAATTTGAAGATATTTGTGCATCAAAATAACATCTTTTATTGAAATTTTTAAGGTGGGTTCTAATTTGATTGTTTAGAGTCTCGGCTTTATATAAATTTTTTTTCAAAGGAAAAGTAAAGGTCAATGATCTAAAGGTCAATGATCTAAATATATATATTTTTTCCCCAACATATATTAGTATATTGCATAAATATGTTTAACATTTTTCATACTAAAAATAGTTTTGGATTATTATATATTTATGCTTGATTTTCTAACAAATGGTATTGAGTGGCTTGAGTTTGAGCCTAAACTGTGTCACTCGAAGGTATTTAAATAAGGGAAAAAGAAAGGAAGGGGAGGGATTTAGCTGGTGGCTTTGGAAATGATGATAGTCATCATCAATGCTTTATTCCAATTAATTTGTGTCGGCTACACAAATCAAGTTCTATCAAATGCCATATTTTTGGTAAGATCATAAGTCTTCATATCTTTTTTTACTATTTCTATCTATATCTTTTTGGGCCTTTTTTTTGCTTTATTAGAGCATTCAACTTGAATAAAATCGTATTTCCTAACTGGTATTGTATTCGGTCTGTATTGCACATGGCTAGTCTACCTAAGTTTACTTTCTCTCGTCTTATCGCCTATTAAAACTACGCCTAAGTTCCTTCAAATTTATTTATTTCGATCTCTATCATTTCTTGTCTTACCACTCATTCATCTCAACATTCTCATTTCAACTACCCGCATCTCTAGGTATGTTGTTTCTTGACCGCCAAACATTATGTTTCATAAAATTAAGTTAGTTTCACAATTCTTCTATAGAACTTCCCTTTCAGTTTCATTGGTATACATTGATTATATAAAACTCCAATTGCATATCTCCACTTCGCTGATCTAGCTCTAATTCTATATGCAATATCTTCCTTAATCTCTTTATTTCTTTGGATTATCGATCCAAGTTATAAAATGTGTAGTCTTTTAGATATTTATTGGCCAACAATATTTAACTACTTCTTCATTCCTACTCCTATTATTACAACCTTAGTTTATTTTGCATTTCATGTAAAATAAAGTAAAATATAAGATAGAGTGGCCCTACTAGAAGTTGGGTGTACATGTCCGCTACTTGGAGTTTGGGATTGGTTAGATCTTGGATTTTATTACTAACTTCAACTGCTCTTTGGGGATGTGCTAGTTGAAGCTAACTTGAGTTTTGGCTTGAGAAGGTAGGGGTTTTTTAAAATGCGGGATGCTGCTAAAAGTGTTTGGCTTGAGAAGGTAGGGTTGCTGCTAAAAGTGTTTGGCTTGAGAAGGTAGGAGTTTAAGGCATTGTTTTAAAATGCGGGGTGCTGCTAAAAGCGTTTGGGGAGGAGGGGGGGGGGGGTAGAACGTGGCGATGCAGCTCGATGCGGTTTGGTGGAACGTGGCGATGCAGCTCGATGCGGTTTGGATGTGGGTGCATCCCTGTGATGCGGTCAATAAATATAAAAAAATTTTAAAAATTTTGAAAAAAATAGGTTAGTACATAAAAATATATATGGATGTGATATATGTGATAATATGCATTTAGTTTATTCATTAACTCCAAAAGTATTGGTTGTCAGAGATTTTATATCCATTATCCCCTAATAGAAACTAGAAACTTGAAACCAATTTCATAAAAATATTCAACAATTAACTACTATAAGCACAAATCTGCAACCACAAACTTTAAAATTACAAAATACTATAAACTAAAAGCCCATGAAGAGTAAAGAGTTTAAAAGTAAAGCTCAAGAAAAGTCAATACAATCATCATCATTTCTCAAGTCTTGAGAATGAGATTCTAAATTTCAATTTTTAGATACTAATTAGAAAAGTCATCTTGAGAGTGAGATTCTAATTTCAATTGTTATCACAACTTCACCTAAACTTCCTCAAATCAACACCCAAAAGATACAAATCAACAACCAATTATCAACAAATGCACAAATTGAAGAACTTCAATAAATAAAATTTTCACCCAAAGTTTTTTATTTTATTCAATCGATCCAATAAAAGCCAGGGATACGACTGAAAAATGATGTTTGGGACCCAAATCCTTTCCCCCTATTTTTTAAGACCAAAATGACCTTATTACCCCTGCTCGAAGGTTTCAATTTCTAAAAAAATAGAGGATAGATTATGCGGCCTGATGAGCTCGAAACGAGATACGGCTCTGATACGGCGCATATTGGGGCACATCTCTCCAAACAATATATGCGGGCATGTCGATGCCTTGAGCAATACATAGCACTTGATGCGGTCGCATTTTAAAACACCGAGTCTAGGATTAAGTCTCACACAAGGTTTGGGTTAGGGTCAAGCATGGTACGATGTCTTTTTGTATGTTTACGGTAGGGTAGTACTTAAGTTGTATCTTCTGGATCTTAAGGGCCATAGCAAAGCTGCTATAATAGGGAATTAGTGGTAGCATTTGGAGGAAAGCTAGGGTTTGTAGGTTGAGGTCTGAATCCAGTAGGCATTCGCCTAAGGTTAATGAGAAGTCCTGTTGAATTCAAAATAAAAGGGCCTATTTATAAACAAAGGAAAAAGTTTATATAGAGTTGAGGCTCTAAACAATTAAATTAGAGCCCACCTAAACTATTCCACTATAAGAGGTTGTTTTGATGCTTAAATATCTTCAAATTGAGCATCCCGACATCAAAATGCATGGACATGAGAAAAAATAGATTTCAAATTTTGAAAATAGTGCATCTTGTAATGCATTTTTGGATTATCAATTTTTAAGATTTATAAGTTCTCATAGATCTGCTCGATTTACACTATTTTTGAAGCTTTAAAATTCATAATTAAAAATAAAAATATATTTTAAGACAATCATAATGATTTTCAGTATTGAAAACACATTTCTCGATACTATTTGAAGGTACATTTTACTTTAATTGTTTAGAGTCTCAGCTCTATACAAACCGCACCCATAAATAAAATGGGCCGTCCATCTCCACGTGACCCCCGTTAGTCTCCTGACCCAAAGCGGTTGCGCGCCCCCTATTCAGGCTGTTTCGCGCACGTCCCCACACGCCCATTGGAGCATTTTCCAACCTTTGGTGGGCATTTTTAGGGTTTTTAGGTGATAAATGACCAGTTAATAAAATATTGTTAATTATTTAAATGTGTCCATTTTAGATTCGACTAATTAGGTTGCCTTAACTGGTGATCCGGGGCCTAATAGTATAGGATTGGGCGACTTAGCCTGATTTGGGTTGTTCTAAGCTTAAATACGAAGGTTAGAGAGGGGCTTTGGGCTTAATATGGTAGGTTTAAAGGTAACTATCCGGTTAGGTGCTTAGCTAAGTTGGCTTAGGCCTAATTAAATTGGATTTAGTAAATAGAAAAAGTTTATATAAAGGTTGCAACCTTAAAATGTGGAATTACAGATGCACCTTAAAAATCCATCGGGAAATGTTGTTTTAATATTGAAAAAGCCTTTAATTGGTCATCCAGACATCGAGATGTAGGAATTTGGAAAAAAAAAAAAGAGAAAGATTTTGAATCTAAAAAATAGTGCATCTTGCAATACATTATCTAGACCATCCATTTTTAATATTTTCATATGTTTATAGATCTACTTGATTTTAACCATTTTTGGAGTTTAAAATTTTATAATTAGCTATGAAAATAAATTTTGAGATAATCCTAATAATTTTTTTCACTAAAATTACATGTTATGATACAATTTGGAGGTCCGCCTTAATTGGATTGTTTAAAGTTGCAACCTTATAGAAACCACACCCTTAGTAAATAGAAGTAACCTTTTTAGAATGTATGGACTACAGGGTATGGTAAATATGGTGTATCATGTTAATGTGGGCCCTACGGTAGCTTAGGCTAGGCAAAGGGGATTTTGGTGAGGTGAAGGCCGTAATTAGGTCCGGGATAGGCTTGGGGAGGATTTAGGTCAAGGCCCTATGGTTTTTGCGATTCCTGTTTTGTGGAATTCCCTCGGCCGGGAAAAAGGGTGTCTACATTATATTTGTAAGTTAAAATTATCTTGAAGAACAAACAATATAATTATAGATTTGATGAGTTCTACTTTCTCTTAATGGAAATATGATCACAATAGAAAGGAAGGTTCAATTTTTAAGGCTTTGCTTTAGAATCTAGTTACTTATTTTTGTGTTGTTGTCTTAATTACAATATGCTAATAAAAGTAATAATAAAAATAAAGATAGAAAATACTACCTGTTAAAAGTGAAAATCTTTTATGTTGAATACAAATTTTTTTAATTAAAACTAGTATTATGCACGTGTGTTGCACGTGATATAATTGGCTAAAAAAGCAATGGTTAATATGGACGTCCATCACT